CAGACTGATGTTTTTTTAAATTGATCATCAAAATTATTTTATTTTGTCAATACATGGTAACCTGTGTTATGTCTGTAGTACTTACTATTGGTGCTGGCTGGATTCTATGAGTCAGATTTGCAATGTGGTCTGTAGGTTAGACGACTCACCATTTCAGCTTACTATTTAGTCAATTTTAGGTGGCTGAAGCTGACTGGCAAGAAGCCTTTGATGTGGGTTTCATGCTCATAGGTGCTCATCAACGGTGCATATTTTCAACCTCAAAAGAATGGATACCAGCTCGGAGATTCGCACCAGTGTCACCAAGTGCTGAATCCACAAATTTTAAATTTGAGCTATTTGAACTCATAAAAAACCTTCTGTAGGTCTGCACTGATTGTTCCTCTGATGTTAGTGCTGTCAGTCAAGCTTGCAATACTGTCACCAAGCTGTGACCCGTTATCGCGGCACATATTTTGAATTAATGCTGGGTGGCTATGGTAAGCCACCTAGTTTAGCGATCAGATTGAAAGTAAGTAGCAACTATAAGGGCTAGACACGTATCTAGCATTCTTGCTTCCTAGCGATCAGTCGATAGATTGATACTCATTTGTAAAGCTTTGAGTGATAATGTATTGGCAGCAATTAAGACAAAGTATGCGGTTCATTTGCATTCAGTAACTGCTTTAACAACTGCGTATTCCAAAATAAACAGAGAATTATACTTTATTCTAAAATCTGTGTTTCATTTATAAAGCAAGATAGTGAATGTATTAAAGTATTTTTGATTGAACACTAGCCAGTAACAAGTGTAATGTGTCCAGTTCTATCTTCAGTGGAGACTGAATTCTATAAGTCAAGCTTGCAATGTGGCCATCATGCTAGGTGGCTTGCCATTACGGTGTACTGTGAATTGTTGGTATTAGATGGTTGGAGGCAATTGACAGGAAGCCTTAGACCTAGGTTTTGTGCTAGTTGGCGCTCATCAGCAAGGCGTATCTACAAACTCGAAGGAACTCATGTCTTTTCTAAGATTCGAACCCGCGGACATGAGTTCCTTCGAGATAACAGATAGGCCTTGCTGATAAGTACCAGCTAGCACGAAAGCTAGTTGGAAGGCTTCCTGCCGATCGCCTCCATCCATCTTATACCAACAATATATTAAAGCATACGGCAACACTGATAATGCTGCAAATTTAAACATGGTAAAGTAGGTGAACTGATGTTCGATTACTGCCACAATTTAGTTGACCCATAGTGGAATGTCGCAAAGTTACCGAAGTGAAAAAGGCGTAAGATGAAGTTGCCAACTATCACCGGTGATATTCCTAATTGTGGTGGATTGGATTATGCAGCGAACTATAGGAAGCGAGACGACATGGCTGTGTTGAGCTAGCCAGAAGGTACTAAAAGATTTGGACCCCACAGAGGATCTTTGTCTAATTTCACATAAATTCGAAGACTTACGGGCGAAAATCCCGAAACTGAGAGGAGAGGAAGACAGGGAAGACAAGACTTCAGATAGGCATAGAGATGACGGCAGTGATAAAGATAACCAACCAACAACGAGCACCAATCCCTATCGGCGGAAAAATCTGAAAGAGGTCACTTCCTTCACTTATCAATGAAGCATCGTTTCAACTACAGGTGGACGACACGGAAGGGGTGTGGAGACCAGAATCGGAAGGGAAATGTAGATCTTCATTAATCTGTAAATCAGTATGGAAGTATGTTACACTCAACATAAAGGATAAAATTGGGATTCTCAATACAAATGATTAATCATTTCTTCTATACGGGTTAGAAACTTGGCGTGTTACGAAAAGCATTTCCAACAGGCCACTGATGACCTCTGACAACAGCTGCCTTGGTTCCATATTGAAGATCATAGGTCAGCCAGAAAGAATAAGCGACAAGAAACTATAGGAATAAACCAACCAAGAACCTATTGGCCTGAAAATACAGTTAAACAAATGGAGATGGATCGCACGCACACTGAGGAAACCAATGAGTGAAACCACACACGAAGGAGACCTTCGAGTGGGTCACAGACGGGAAACGACGAGTTGGGTTAGGATCTGAGTGTAACATGAAGGAGATCATGTGAGGAGTAGATGACAGCCTTTAGGCAATCGTGGGGCCAGCTAACGAGGACTATAGAGAACACGATGCAATTAAGATCTGCTGTAGGAGCCCTATATTCCAATCAAAAGACACGTAAATAAATATAAAACAGAATGATAATCACAAATAAAAATAATAAGAAATAGTTTAAAAAGGAATCTTTATAAGTTATAATTTAATGTCATTTTAGTGAATGTTGACTAGAAGTGGAACCCATGACTCGCGTTTCATCCTGTTTGGGACTCCTCATCTGGATGTGAGTCGGTAAGTAATAGTGTTTCCACTAAAACTCGAACCCTACAGGCATCATTCCAAACACAAAAGTATTGTCTACTAGGTTTGCCCATCTTGGACTCCACCTTTAGTCCCCATCAAAGGAAATAACATCATGTTAATTCTTAGACATTGTTGAAGAGCCAACCTGTCAATAGAGAACAAGCTCTTGGTTCAACATAATAAATAAAAGGGAAATGCAAATTAACTTAAAATCTATGACTCACTTGAAAACTGTATCGTTTATTTGTATACTTTGGTGCATTGTCATTAACATCCAATATCTTTATAGTTAATAATTCAACTGATTTTTGACTCGGTGATCCATTATCTTCACACTTTAGACTAACTCTTAACTCTGGTTGAATCTCTCTATCAATCAGGCGTAATGAACTCAACTGATAAACACTAATTTTACCCAGATTTCTTAAATAGACTAAATTCAGTTCATCTGTTTGGCCTAATTGACATGTAAATTTACCATTGTCATCTGAATCAGCATCATAGGCAGTAATAGTCGCAATGAGTACACCAGGCGGTGTATTTTCAATCAGGCGTAATTGTGATTTTGTCATATTAGTGCTTGTATTCTCATACTGTGCATTCAATCGGCCTTCTTCATGTATAAATGCGGGTGTAATCGTTATCTGTGGTGAATTATCATTTTTGTCTTTAATATTCACTATAATTCGCATGGTTGCAGATAACGGTGGTACGCCACCATCTTCAGCGACAATACCAAAGGTGTATTGAGTTAAACCGCCTGTATCATAATCCAGTGGTGTGCGTACTATAATTACACCCGATTCATGATCAATTTTAAAATCTCTTCTAGCTGTATCAGACGCAGACAGTGAAAATCTATACGTCACATGACCGAATTCTCCTTCATCTTTATCATTCGCCACAGGTGTCTCCGGCAGTATACTCCCTACCGGGATATCTTCGTCAATGTTAATAATAATTTCACATTGTTGTACTGCAACACTTGAATTTTTACAATGTTCAAACACTGGAGTGTTATCATTTTCATCGGCAATATGCACAAATAGTTTTGCATAGCCACGATTTCCACCCCCATCGACAGCGACTACTGTCAGCTGATAGACAGGAATCTCTTCACGATCAAGTGGGCCTTTAACAACTAATTGATAAGTTGGTCCATTTGGACTAGGTGAATTGATGATATCAAAAGTTGATGTACTATTATCATTTGATAAGGCCAGTTCATACCTGACAATTGAATTTTCACCAATATCTGGGTCATAGGCCAGAGGTAGGTCTAAAATTGAACCGATAGGACGATTTTCTGTTATCCATACTTCAAGTGTCGGTTGTTCTGTAGTATCTTTACTTCTTGGCCACTTCGGTGTATTATCGTTGACATCACGAATGACAATACGTAGGCTTAGTAGACGTCCATCACTGACGAAAACCACACCTGACCAGGCACATATCTCTGGCCAACCACTTTCACTGCATAATTTACGATCTGTATCCCGGTCTAACTCACGACGTACTAGCAGTCGATTTGAATGAACCGGATCGAAATCAAAGTAAAATGTATCCTGTAAAGTGAATGTCAGCTGACTATTCTTTCCGTCTTTATTGTTACTCGACTGGTGACTGGATTTATCCACTTCAGGTTCTAGTTGAATTCTTCCAACTTCAGAGCCAATCACTGCATTCTCTTCAATAACAAATGTGACAATTATAGCACTGTTTAAGGAAGCATCAACTGTCTTGGAATGATAATAATAATAACAACAATAATAATAGCATAATAAGTAGATTATTTCAACTAAATAATTCTTTGGAAACATTTCAGAGTGTTAGTAAGCAAACATGGTAAGGTGTAATATAGTTCACATTTAGTCTTATTTTTCTGCTTTCGTGTTATGGTTTCCTGAGATCTTGAAAAAATGTATTTTTGTTTTTTGTCTATAGAGTGATCAACTTGTTTGTGAATTAAACATGAATGAATACTGAGGGAAATTCGGTGAAAACAGGATTATCTTCTCATCAAGGGAAATGTTTGTTTTTCCAAATCAGATGGAATTTTTTTTGAAATACTGATTCAAATATTAAAGCAGCCAATCAAAATTCAGCATTTTACACTACTCATTTTACCTGCTCAAATTTGATTGGTGGATAATAGCTGATTAGCTGGTAGATGATGGTTTGTGTAAAACCGTTATTCCTACTTACTTGCTCACTTACTTACTCTCTTACTTGCTTACTCATTTACTTCCTCACTTAGTTACTTGCTTATTTACCCACTTACTCACTCACTTGCATACATGTTAGCTGTTAAAAGAATATTTCAGTTGTAAATGATGGCTAGTTCACTTGTTATAGTAAATCCCTCCAAACTTTATACTTTAAAGAAGAACTGGTTCATCAACACGACTATTTTTCAATAGTCTTATTATCAAAGCTAGATAGAATTTTTTCCTGGGTGGCCATAAAGTTTCTGATATGTACAACAAATTGTCCAAATTGGCATTAGGAGAAATAATTATACTTGCAGTTTAGAATGCGTCGGTGGCATAGCGGTTAGGACGCTCGCCGACAATGCACATGGTCCGGGGTTCGATCCTCGGCCACCACACTCCTTTACCTCGCTAAGCCAGAAATAATGCTCTTGAAGAGGAAAGGTTGGGCATGAAGCTAGCAACCCCATCCTGTAAAATAAACACTGCTACAGAAACTTCAAGCCACTATGTTGAAGCCTAATGTTCCACTGGGAACTTGAAGGAAAAAAACAGTTCATATAGTGTAAGTGTTTCACTGACAGAATACTGGCAAACCACCCACGTAACCATTGTTCAATTCCTCACCAATGTTGAGAGTGAGGCTGGCAAACTTATTTCTTTAAAAAGCTCCACTGCTGCCGAGACTTCAAAGCTCAAGCTTAAACCTTAAGTTCCACTCGGAATGCGGGAGAATGAAGAAAAACAAGTAAGATCATAAGCTGGCATCATTTTGTGAAGCGTTTGAAACAAGAAAGTACTGTCCTAGTTGAAGACTTTTCAATCAAATCCATACAGACTTTTGGACATGAAACTTGTCACAAAATAGTCAAAACTTCTCGGAATATTTGAGACCCTGGGATTTTATGTATTTTCATGTAGAATTAGTAGAAGCTTAGCTGGAAAGAAGACAGTTTTCTCTGAGGTTGGTTCCTTTTTTATTCCATGGGTTAAGTTGAATTATCATAACCAAAGTCAAGGTCTGTCAAAAGCCGACCCTCAAGAACCAGTTAAATTCAGAGAATGCTAGGGAACGTCACTCCACATAAAATCATGGCTGGGTTTATGGATTTATTGAATGAGTCCCGTGAAGACTGAGTGAGTCTGTACTCTTACTCAGGGTTACAGTAAGGGTTAAGATTAAATGCAGGGTTAAAGTTGGGGTAAGTTTACGGTAGGTTAAAGAATAGAGTCAGGAATATCAATGGATCTGAAAGTACCAAGATCTACAGTCACCTGGATGAATACATCTGTCGTGTATGGTATGATTTCTCTATGGATTACCCTTGAAGTTATGGCGACACATTCCTACAACACATAAAGGACAATTATCCAGCGTAATATCGTCTTTGCAATGTTTTTACTATATTTTTTAACGATTATGCGACTTTTTTGCATCTGCATTCTGATTGGTTGTTCAAGGTCACTGATTTCATTATAGTTTAACATTACCGTTGTATGTACATTCGTAGCACAGTGTTCCAATAAAGTATGTCCAACAGCCAAAGAAGAATGAACCATGGTTATGCGTAATATAGATTGCCCTCTCCATCCAAGAAGATAAAGTTAAAAGACTTGACGTGCACTTTCTAGCGTCAATTCATATAGACATCTTCGGACATCTATTCAACTGGGATTTAAAACGAAGAACTTTAGAGGATTCCTAGAAGCCTGGTATTGACATCACTTTGTTATTAAACTTACATGTGAATATAGAAATTTGCCTACCAATAAACGGGATGTCGGGAAAACAAAAGGTCAGATATCAAGTAAACCAGAGACTCACTATCAAAAAAGTAGATGGTAAATAAGAGGAAATCTCTGCGGACAACCAACTGTAAATGACTAGAAAAGACAGACTTTTCATTCCATGCAGAATTCGGCAATTTCACTTCACACTCATTGTGACTATGCCGTCAGGTAAGATAGTAAAATATTCTCAGTTAAACCATTCACCTTAGAGGACTCAGCAATACTAGTTTCTTAGGTACCACTTGCTTTCTGCGTATCTGAAGTACTAAGGAGAAAAGGATTAATAAGCCGTAAATCCTATTAAACATAAGTCAACATCAAGAATTTTTCAAAAGACGTCCTTTCCTTAAATCCTTTCAACAAATGTAAGTGTATTTAATTGGTGGATGGTGACTAGCAGCGGGATCCAGGATGCGTATTTCGTCCTATTTGGGACTCGTCAGCTGGATGTACCTGCATTTCTCAGTGAGTGATGATTTTCCCACCGAGGCTCGAAACCAGTGCCCATAGTTTCAAACGCCAAAGCGTTATCCACTAGACCACTTGGGTCACGATAGCCACCTCTTGTGCAACGGGTCATATTGATTTAATTGAATTTTATATTTTCCCGTCGATTGATTGAACCGAAGTGCACATCCTGGATTCCGCTGCTAGTCACTATCCACCAATTAAATTCTAATTACGTGCCCAGACATCGTCGAAGTATCTGCACTAGAAGCCGACATGTCAACCTGAGACCGAACATTTCGGTCCAATCAATCGACGGGAAAATCTAAAATTCAATTAAATGTAAGTGTACCTTAAATATAATATATTCGGAGTGTTTATTCTGTTCATCTACAGACATATAGTATTGGAAGCTAACCATAATAAGATGAAAGCAGTATATGGAGTAACGCCTTTTGAAATATATAAGTGACACTAAGAATGACTCATTGAGTGAGGTGAGATGTTTTTAATTAGAGGACTGAATGGCCATATGAGTTACTGAAATGCGAAAACCAGAGAGTACTGCAGGCTTCTCAGAAGCATTCACCCGAGATATTACCAGGAGTGCCCGATGACCCAACCAATAAAAAATACTAAGTCATTGGCCTAGGGGTAGAATACTCCCCAGAAACACGAAAGGTAAGGGTTCGATTCCCAACAGAGACATTCCCAAACCCTGCCTAGTTTACTCGTCGATGGTAAGCTTGAAAAAGGGGAACTTTGGGCCTGAAGCCAGGATCCCACCACCACGACCACTAACACAGCTACTGAGACTTCAGATGCCTGAAGACCACTCAGAACGAAAAGGAATGAGAAAAAATACAGTGGCATGGGAAAATAGCTAAACTTCTAAGTAGAGCCTAATAAGCGATAAATGAATCTAGATAAATTTAGACATGCTAATACAATTGAAATGTAGGAGTAATGAACCAATACATCTTTCGACGGTGTTAGAAACTAATTTTATGGAGAGAGAAAAAAATGTTGATTGTTAATAACAAATTTACATGGAACTTAAGTGAATAGTTTCTTTTAAAAGGGAATAATGAAATCAATTTAAGAAAAGTGGGGAAAATAAAATCGAGTATACAAGATTAATTTGTACTTTCTTACATAAAAAGCTTCTTTATATTGATTTTGTCTTATGAATGGTTTTTTCTGCCCATTACGGCTCTTATGACTCTTTAACAACAAAATGCTATTAGTTTGAAGTATTGATTTGCTTTAACAAATGTTTGCTGAGTAGTGTATGCCACGAGTTGTTGCTGTTCTCAATGAGTGTAAATATCTAGGACTGTATGTTTGTAGTCAAACCACAAACAGAGCACTGGTAATAGCCCTTTTTGCTGGTCAGTGTGTCCCCATCTTACAGCAACATAGAGTTTTGGAAATCATTTTCACTGATGTAGAGGGGTGTGACTAGTCAGCTTCGAATGAATTACTTATTAAACGACTATGTTTTTGAAAATTCACTGTTCTACAAGACAGTATACAATTTTACTTTGAAAAAAGTAGGTATCCCCAAGAAACTATCACAGTATATAGTAGTAATTCATGTAGTGTTCAATAGGTACTTGAAGCAGTCTCCTCCTTATTTCATCAGTTATGTTTACACCTTTGATGTTTTTGAAAATTTTATCATCTTAAAACTGCCAACGGAAATGGAGATGGATTCGACATACACTGAGAATTGTGGAGCCCATTGGGTGACATGACACACTAGTCATGCTCTCGAGTGGAACACGAATGGATAAAACAACGATTTGAACGTCCGAGGGTGACACGGAGAAGATCATACAAGGAGGAAATCAAAGGCAGTTGTGGAACAAGAACAAGATGAAATGAAAGTGTACTGCTGAAGCCAAATAATCTGCTCGAAAAGTAGGAGGAAAAATGACAGTATCACTGTCAAATACTGTGTTGTTTCATAAATTGTTATCACTGGGTTGATGCCCTTCTTTCAGTCTCACAGATGTACATAAATTAATAAGCACAGGTAATAACGCTAGCAGGGAACTTCTTGAACTTAGGCTTATTCAGTGTAAATGCGAAGTCGTAAACTGATGTAAGTTTGGTTGCGGAAACTCTTTATTTAATTGATTCTTTGATTTTAGTATTGATTCTCTCAGACAATTTTTTTTTCATCAAATGTGTGACAAGTAAATACCTTGATTTGACACTAGTAACTAGCGTTATGCGTCTAGTCCTCTCTTTGGTGCAGACTGAGTTCTATCAGTCAGGTTGTAATGTGGCCACCATTCTAGGTAGCTCGCCATCACGGTGTACATTGTCTGTGATGATATTAGATGTTTGGTGGCAATCGGCAGGAAGCCTTGGACCTTGCTGAATAGTGCTAACTAGCACGAAATCTAGGTCCAAGGCTTCTTGCCAATTGCCTCCAACCATCTAATATCATCACAAGTAAATACCTTCTTCTTCTTTTCAGCTGTTGGGTATGTAGTTCTTAGTAGTTTGCTTCTTCATGAACTTCAGAATTTCACGTCTTGGAATGTCTGTCCCTTCTGAAGTATAAACACTGAAGTATTAAAGTCAAAATTTCGTCGTGGTCATATTCCGTGGTAAAATTATTTAAAAGGTTTGTCTTCCTAATCCAGCTGAACAGTGCTGCACAACATCAACCGAAAAGTAAAAGTTTCTGATTTAAAAAGCAAAAGATATTATTGCGGAAATTAAATACGATTAATGTAGCTGCAATATTTAAACGTAATACATACCACTGATGAAATGATAGTATTGTGTGTAATACAATGTATGTAATTATTTGTTCCTTTGATTAATTTAATT